CCGCCGAGACCACCACTGGGACCACCACTGGAACCGCGAAGACCACCGGTACGACCCTGGGGGCACTCGTGGGAAAGGTGACCGCCCTCACCGCAGTCGTAGCACGACTTGTTAACCTTAAGGGGTTGCTCGCACTCGCGGGTAAGGTGACCGCCCTGACCACAGATGTCGCATGGCTTATTCTCCTTAAGGGGTTCCTGGCGTTCACGGCCTTTGAGATGTCAGTCAAGTCCAGAAATGGGAAAGTCCGTTGACTTACTCAAGTGACCCTGGCCTGAAATGGAAAGTAATCTGATTAGCGATGTTCCAACCAGTCCAGATATCTAACCATGGACATTATCTGAGAGATGAAGCATACCGCCTTCCTCACTCTCTCGGGACTTCTCTTCCTTGTCATTTAATTGCACATTGTCATAATTGCTCATTTTGAGGAATGTATAAGCTTGTGTTAATAAAGAATTAAGTAAAGGCTGGGAAAGGTGCTCTGTATGAACTTTGATGATATTGGGAGAGCGATATTTGTGCAATTCTAAAAGGGGAGGAAGCTATGGATGTATCGTTACCTCTGTCATATCCATGAATTTTTAGTGTGACGAAAATGCTTTTAGCTGAACTATCAGTTATTTCAGCTCGCGTTGATAAACGCCAGTCCTCTTTCCGATCGGCGGTGGGGGAAGAGGGTTCGTCTACGCAATAGCCAATCGTCCCTCGAAAGATCTTGACCACATGATGAGCTCCTTCTGGATGGTGGTTGCGCTGGGTACGACCGTTTACTGAAATGACAATGGTAGTGTCATCAGCTCTCACACGACGGTAGCGGGCAATTGTTCGTTGTAGTACCTTTCTAGCTTCTTCTCTAAGGACAGCTGCCAGAAGGCAGTCAGGCCCCCCTCCTGTTCTTTCGATTAGCCATGATTAATGGTGCCGAATATTTGAGAACTGCAATTGGGTAACAAGATTATTAGCACTCCAATGCTCGGGAAGACGGATAAATAGTGTTTTAAGCTGAAGTTACCGCTAAATTCAAATGGGGAAAGGCTCTGACAAGTCTAATGGCCAATCCTCTGTTATTACATGACTTAGCAGTCAGCTATTGGTCAAGGCCAAACCCCGGTACTCGTTCCAAGAAAACCCACGTACTGTGTGCGCATCTCATGTCGATCACACCGGCCTGCGCACGGCCTGGTGAATTTGCGTTTGAGACCAAAAACCAAGAATTAACGCTTTAGCATCACAACCTGCGGACGGCTACGAAACCCTGCAAAAGATCTAGAGAGAGCTTCTCACGGTCACTCAGATAAGACATGAGCGAAATTGGAATGCTAGGCTCTGAAAGCAAGCACGTCATAACCAGCCCGCAGACGAATATACACAGTAGACGATTAGATCCTGCTAGTGTACTTTGGCTCAACTTCCGAGGCTAATCGAGTGCATTTGCCACTAAGTTCGCTGAATAAGCGGCGGTCCGTCAGCCTACATACGCCGACTTGGCGGTTTCCGAGAGGCATTATACCATCAGTGGTTCCTTAGCTGTCAGCAAGCCGTGTAAAGCTACGTCAGCCGATATGCAGGCCACTGCCAGGACTGATTTCCAGCACCTCCCGCGGGTGTTGCAGGGGGAGGACGAGGACAGTTGGTTTGGGATTACAGACCCCAAAATACGACGAAGATTGCAGAATCGGTTGAACCAGCGGGAAAGGCGTTCGTATCTCCGTAGTCAGGGGTCCAGTCGTATGGAGTCGCTGATAAAAGAAATAGGCAAGCGACTACGAGCATCGGACACCAGCTCCAATCAGCTCGAGCAGCAGCTGGGTCCTGGTGCAGAATCCGCCAACCATATCGACCGGATTTTGAGGATTTTGGATGCAATACGTATTTTGGGTCCAGCCGCCATTAACGCTGCAGCCGTTCTCAAGCAGCTTGAAAGCGCTATTGTCTTTGGAGCTCGATGTAACGCCTGGTCTCCGGCGGCAGATTTACGTCTCGGGGTTACAAGGCTGAATGTCTTACGAGCATTGCATGCCAATCTCGAGGTCCTGGGCTATCGGCCAAGCGATATCGAGGACGATGCACAGTCAACTTTCACAGTTGAGAGGCCATCAAGGCACCCTGATCGAGACATCATTGAGGCCAAGCTCCCATCGGCACTAAGGCCGACAGTCATTCAGCGCACAATTCCTCACCATCCATGGCTGGATCTCATCCCCTTCCCGTGCATGCGAGACACCCTGATCTTGGCTCAGGATTTCATTGACGATGAACAACTTTGCCAAGATATGTCTGGTCGGGGTAGCCCCGTCGTGCAACAGTCTAATCTTGATGCAGGTATTGGGGAGACTGGTATCTTGGTGTGGAAAGACCCATGGGACCCATCCGGCTGGGAGGTCACCCAGGTTTTCATCCAACGATGGGGCTGGACTTTGCGAAACTGCCCCGAGCTACTTCGTTCGACGAACGCATGGCGAAGATACCGGGGGGAAAGGCCACTTTTCACTGTCTCGGAGAATGACATGGAATCGGTACGTGAGATCGTATGACAGCGCTAGTCCAAGGAGTCCCAGATCAACAATTGTCTTTGTCTCCTTGTAAATTTCAAGTTGCTGATGGCACTACGTTGGAGCTCCATCAGACTAGTCACTGAACGAGCCACCAGACTGCTACCACTCAGCTGGGACGAGTACATGGGTGGTCGGGTGATGTATTGAGATGGCATTCAATTTCGGCGAGCAAAAGTTCCTACAGGGTGTCCAGATTGGCTCTCTCTCATTTGGCTGGATCCTTGCTGTTATCCGTTTCTGTCGTCTTCGGCCCACTTAGGCACTCCAATTCTATCAGGAGGGACCACTCCAATTGGTCACTAAAAGCTGACTTTGCAGATGCCAGGATTCTTGAAATAGGTAAGCCAAACCCCATTATCCTATTTTTATTGCATGTGTTCGTCTGCTAAAACTAAAGCAATAGGTGCCGGAACAGGTGGAGCTACAGATCCGGTTCTAGAAGGCATTGGGACATCATTCTCCTCCTATACGTACACCGATGTGTGAGTGCTCGGGGCTGTTCAAGGAGTACAGCAATAAAAGCATATATCAGGTTTTGGATATCGAGGAGGCCTCGTCTAATCAAGGTTACGTGCCACACTCTGATGGCACTCTCATTGCTTCCAATGTCCTACATGCTACCGCATCTCTCCAAAGAACTCTGGAGAACACACAACAGCTGCTGAAGGCCGGGGGGTATCTTGTGCTGTTGGGATTGACCAACAGCGGGACAATCCGCGTCAGTAACGTTATGGGAGGCCTTCCTGGATGGTGGCTCGAGGTAGATAAGGGCCCTAAATATACGCCTGTTATGAACCCCGGACAATGGGGCACTATTCTTCGCAAGGCTGGCTTTGGAGGAATTGTCGCCATCCTCCCGGCGATCGACCCAAAGGATTTGCCGTTTTCTATCACGGTATAACAGGCCGTGGATGAGCGAGTGGATTTCCTCCGACGTCCTTTGTTGGAGTTTTCGTCTTCAGCCACGATTCATAATGAGAGCCTTGTAATCCTCGGCAACAAGAGCCCTGATAGTTCTCGAATCGCAAAGCAACTAGACGAGCATCCGCGCCGTTTTTGTGGCCGAATCACTATTCTCACTGGTTTACCTACTGAGGATGATGCTCTTTCGGTGCGTCCTATGTGAGCGTCTAACGAAGGCATCAAGAGTGGAGCAAGCCCTTGAGACCATGAAAAGTGAGGCATCCGGGGCTATTTCCTTATCCGGGAGGCTGCAAGCTAGTGACTCACAGATTCCTTAACAGCGAGGCTGCGTATCATTTTACAGGTTTCTGATCTAACAATTGACCATGATGCCCCCTAAGTGGAGCTTGGGGTTGATTCACTAGTCGCTGCCGAGGTGCGACCCTGGTTCCTAAAGGAGGTGAAGGGTGGACATACCAGTATTGAAGCTGGTTAGTGGAGAATCCCTGTCCGAGATATGCGAGGAAGTCCTTGAGAAGAAGCCTGACGACATCATGCCAGGCATTGCAGGCGCAAAGAGGAGACCTGAACCTGCTGCGGCACCATCTCCAGCTCCATCAACCGCGCCAGGAACCAGAGTGGTAGGTTTCACGACAGCCTCAGATACCAACTCGACTCGTGCCAGCGTTACTTCTGACGATGGTGGTCAGACCACTGACAAGGTTCCTCCAGAGTCGGCTCCAGTTGTTCAGGCTCCGGCTTGATCATCAGATTACCACCTTTGCAGCTCTTCGCCTTCTGGACTCTGGACGGGCCCTCTTAAACAAAAGGATGTTTACTCAGCTGGCAGCTTTCACTAGGGTTACACCTTGGTTCCTGTACTGATATAGTAGAATTATATCTTTCAGATTAATCTGATGATCACTTGCTAAGACCACAGGGTAATTGCTATAGTTTAGTTTCCGTGTAGCTAGTAGGACTGATTGGGCCAGCAATCGTGGCTGAAGGGCGTAGAGCATCATTGGAAATGACGGAAATTTGAAAGGCTTCACACGGGTCCGAGAAGTCATATCTGCCTATTGAAAGCACCCCTGCTTAAGGGCGCCAGTAAAATCTTCAGCATCGCAAGAGAGCGTTAAACACTGTGAGAAAGCAAAGCGTGGGAGAATGAGTTACTGCCAACCGCCATGGTTCAGGGGAGCAGTGGTTCCTGGAAAAGCGGTCTTTGAACAACGACTCTGAAGGGGGCGACCTTGCCGACACGTTTCTGATGGAAATGACGCGGGGATGCCACAATGGTCCGCTGGCTGAGCGGCATTAAAGCTTACAGTTGATGGCTGTTTACCTATCCAGAGAGCAGGATGCTCAGCTCTTATTTAACCAGAGGATCATACCGGTTCGCGGGGAAGCAGTGTTCTGTGAGGTCTCCTACCGCCGGAAGAGGCCGATTCGGTGCCGGAACTGTCCGAGTAAGATATGAACACAAGCAGGCACGGTGCCCCGAGCCAGACCATGCGGAAAGAGCGCAGGTTCCCCACCAAACCAATGAATGCGGGTCAGATAAACTGAGGCGCGGAGCGCGTGGAGGAAATCCTCTGGTTGCTCATCCTGACTGCAACAAGTCGGGGGAGGGACTGTTTCAGATGATGCGAGTCCGTTATCATGAGAAGAGATGGACAACTGGACATGACGCTTTATTCTCCCCCTTTTTCTCGAATTCCTCAGGTTCGTCGATATAAGCAGTGATGGAGGCATGACCCGCCCAATGCAGAAGGCCTAGAGCTCCACAAACGACGGCGCACACTCAATAGGCTCAGTATCCGGGTTCTCAGGATCATACAAGATAATTGACGCCCGCCCCGAAATCCCCCGTTTGATCCTTTTTGTGTAAATTACAGACATCGCAACACCACTTGCCTCCGCAATTCTGCGCAGCAGCTGCGGTTGTGTCGGACGCGCAATATTGCCGACATACGTTGGATCGAGCAGGCTGTGCCCTTCCCACGGCCTGCCTTCATAGTTAAGGACGATGTCCCGCAGAAATGGGGCGTGCTGTGCACGATCGCTTAGATATTCAGCGAGTGCATCGATGCTCGCTTGCATAGAATTTTCGGTTGAGTTTGGGCTACGCCGGTCAGAAGATGATTCCCAAGTCACTGCGTTGTCTACTAAGCATAGAGATTGAAGGCTCGGGGGCAGGAGGTCAGATAGTCGTTTGTGCGGAGGTCGCGGGCGATTAAGGTTACCCAGGAGTAATTCAGTCGGTATGTCCAGGCGCTTGAGGGTGTGAAACTGCTGGAGCGAGCCCATGGGAACTCTCCCTGCTGAACTGAGCGGCAGGGAGAAGACATCGCAGTTTTTGTCAGTCCATCGCATGTCAATAGTTAGTTCTTCAAGGGTATCTGCAGCGGGTAGTAGAGCGGAACGGAGATCTGCGAAATCAATCTCTTCTGAGTATTCAGATGCCGAGATGTGACGGAGGAAACCACAGTGTAGCACTTTGAGTCCTGGTGCTAACATCACCAGTGTCTCCACATGCTTCGGGTCGATGTCGCACCGGTAGAGGCGGAGCGTCGTGAGTGACTGAGACTGCTGCTTCTGGTGCAGCTCTTCTTTGAGCGTGGGCCATGAGGAGAGGTCGGGCTCATGGATAGTCACTATCAGTTCCTCCAAGGACGGAAGGAAGAAGCATGGGATAATCTGGTCAATATTCGCCTGAATATCCAGAGCATCGTACCCATCAACGTTGTCGCCAAATTTTACATATCTCAAACTGCTGAAACTTCCTCCCCCACGTACCGTAATCAAATGCTTTAATACCATTCCCACAAACACGGAATCATCCACCAGACACAGTGCCAATTTCAACGTCTCCAAATTCTCAAGCTGGGAAAGGATCAAGGCTATCACGGCGTCAACACTCCCTTCGCTCAGCGCCTTATACCACCGATCATTCTGCGGGAACCCCATCTTGTTTATCAAATCCATTGCTGCGTCGATGGTTTGGAGGTCTAACGATCCCGGTACCATGTCCTTCAAGTGATCTTCCATGTTCGCCAAGTAGTGGTTGTCTAGATGGACTCGCTTGATGAGTAGAGCCAGCTCTGGATGCGCTAGGAGGGTGCGCAGAAGGAGAGTAAGAGGTGGGTATCGCGGTCGTCGTTCGTCGTAGTGATATACCCAGTCAATGTTGGAGTAGAGGAATCGATTGGACAGATGGTGGAGGGATCTGGACACAAGCGAGAGGGAATGAAGTGTGGTAGAGTCACATTGTGCCAGCATCAGATACAGGACTTCAGTGGGTAGATTAAAGAGGTGAGCCATTTGATGTTTTGAATGGCATCATACGCCAGAGAAGTGTTTGTTTATGTGGAAAATTTTTGCCTTTGTCAATACGAGATGGAGAGCCAATATGCGGTTCTAACCGACCCTTCCACCTTGTTGCAGAGTCACACTCCTCACGCCCTTGTACTCAGCTGGCATCTTTCAAGCATCTTTCACTGGCGTTGCACCCTAGGTTCCTGGTACGGATATAGAATAATATCTTCCAATTATCTGATGATCACCAGATAAGATAACTCTGAGTAATTGATGTAATTTAGCGTCCATGTGTCAAATGACGTCAAATTGCCAATAGACATATATAAACAGCTGGACCACCAGCAGTTCATATACACAATATAGTCATACAAAGATCCTTACATATAATTCTTGTTATTACCTACTAAATCTATAATTAATTTTAATAATAATAGATGCAGCGAGTCAGCTACAAGTCAGTTCCCACCATGTGACATGCGCTACCTATGACGTAGAGAAGTAGTACAGAGGTACTAAACAACAACACATCCTCCACAAATCGCGACAACCTCGCTCCAAACCCTCCCGATCCGATAATCATTCCAGCAGCATGGAAAGCAGCGGCCTGCGCGGCCTCACCCGACGAGCCCTGCCAGAAAGTCTCAAAACCCACACTCAGACGGCACACGATGTCATCTCAAGCATGATGGGAATCCGCCAGACTCTGCTCTCGGCGGTCCTCTTCGACGTACCCCCTGTCTGCTCACTACTGGTGAACGAGCTGATTGCAGATTACCAAACGGTAGCTTCCCGCATACATCAATCCTCCTTGTGTGAGATGCGAAATCTGACGAGTTAAGGGTACTGGCTTGCCTGATCATCCTTATCGCGAGGCATACATCATCGTTTTGCTTCCCGGGGAGTCAACGATTGGGAAACAGCATGATCTGCTACTTCTCCCTCTGTCGCGGGCTGGGAATCCGGCAGTAAGCGTAGTGGATGTGGAAGGGAAGGTCTTGGATATGGATTGGGAGGCACAGGATTACTTCCGAATACAGGAGATGTGTAGATTCCGCGTCTCGGAGCGTGGCAGGGTCAGTGCCCTGTGTGTGGTGTTTTCGAGGACTTGATCATGATGTGTATTTGATTGGAGCGTCAGTGACAATGTAATGATATAATGATATGACAACCAAGCAGAGATATGCGGGCCAGAGAGCGCTTGCTTGAGGAAGGAAACCAAGGACTGCAATAACCGGTCTATAACATCCTGTGGATGGCATTGTACTCTCACCATGTCGGAGGGGAGCCCTTCGGCTCTTCTGCCATTGCCCTCAGTATATCATGATTCTTCTCATAAACGCCAACTGCAGATTCCGCGCTGAATTTAATGCGCGGGGATTATCCGTGCTGTGGAACTGTCGGTTTCATATTGCACCACTATTTCTGCTATGCTACCTGGTCGTCCGTATACTTTAGTCGAGTGCTTCAATGGTTATAAGTCTATGCTGACAGCCGTTCAATATTTACCAGTCTTGATTAGCCACTTTGAAATCGGGTATTATGACATCTTTCTCAGACTATGGCGATGTTGAGAAATGATTCATTTATTTACAAAGTAGTAAACGCAGACGGCTACTACAAGCAAAAGCAATAGTATTTGCAATGGGACATGCATGCAAGTCTATTTTTAATATAGAAGGGCGTGAGCGAAACCTACTACTACACTGAGCTTTGTCAATATATTGTGTCATGCAAGGAGGACTTTGTACGCCAACATGTCTGAGTTCGAACAACGGAGAAGACAAAGGCAACCGAAGAGCATGAGGCAAGTGAAATTACATGATAATTACGACTAAATAATATGGCTAATGGTGCCTATTGGTGATGTGCAGACAATGTACTATTGAAAGTGGACGCAAGCTAACAAGACTATACCCAGCCACTCAATAGTCGATGCACCAGACCAGACAAAACAGGAAAGGGGAATCAATCAAACATTACACAACGTCAAGTACGCCTTTATATACAGCAACCGAGATAGGCGTATGCACAATCGTCTCGGCGCCAATGCTGAGTCGAAAGATGAGTAATAACAGACAAGATTCTAGATCCTGTTCCTCGGCTCCGTACACCGCAAGGCCTGTCGCCTTGCTTGTGCTCGCTTTCTACTCTTCTTTCAGCCATACCTTCAACTCTCGCGTCCTTTCTCTCCTCCCCATGAAATGCGTGTACGATGTCCCGCGCGACCCGAGGATTGGTCTGGCGACGTCGATGGAAGTCCGCTTACAATTCCAGCATCGTCTCGTCGCGGAGATGCCCGAGAGCCATCCGCGAACTGAACTCTGCCTCGCACTTGGCGGAATTCACCATTGTCATCGCTGTCCGTGTCTTCGACTGCGGCCTCCTGGTCATCGGAGTCCGAGTCGTTGTTCAATTCTCCCAGGGCTGCCAGACGACGACGACGCTCTGCAGGTGTTTCACCCGTGTCGTCCAAGTCGGCTTCCTGCGGGGGGCGCGCAAGACCGGCTGCTTCTCGGAGGCGAGCTGGCGGGATCCGCTCAGTACCATCGTCTTCGGAGTCTCTTCTCGACCGTGGACGAGGCCTGGATGGCGAGTCGGACGGCTCCAGGTGACTGCGTCGCTCCTGTGCAGCCGAGCCTCGAGTCATCCTAGCGAGCGAAGCAGCCACGTCGGGCCCGGGAATGTCCTGTACCGATTCATCGTCGGTGGTCTCGCTGTCGGAGTCGAACTGTTCGATGCCGCGGGTCTCTACCTGTGTGCCAGGCGATACCGGCATTTCAACAGGTTGTGCTCGGAGAGATTCTCGCTGCTCGGCCTCGTCCCGAGCCACATCCTTCACACGCTCAGGAACGTCAGTCTCCTCGACCAACTGGCGACGAGCCTTAGGGTCCAGGTTCTTGATCTGCTCGGCGAACTCATGTTTCGTCATGCGGCGGCCCTTGTGACCGACACCTCGCTTGGCGACTTCGTCGTCGTTGGCCAGGGTGAACCGCAGTCCATCGTCCGCTAGCCACTCGTCCTTGGCTGCCTTCCTGCTCTGTGCAGCTTGCGAGGTTTCCGCCTCGCCGTCCCTGCCAAACCAGGTTCCCATTCGTCCCAGGCCGCGGCGGCTAGGGGCTCCGGCTTCGACCTTGCCAGCGGCGGGAATGGAGTACTTCTTGATGACTTCGCCATCCTCATCTTCGACGATGATGGTATTGCCGAATTGATACGCGTGAGCCGAGCGAGCTTTGCCCTTGGCCGGCTTGCCGGATTCTTCGGTCGATTGCTTCTCCGCAGCTTTCTTCGCCTCCTTGCTTTCCGCTTGTTCGCTGCGGCCTTTGCCCCAACCGACCCATTTGCCGAACTGCTTGCGAGCCTTTCCTAGCGGGGGCCCGGCCGCAGCTCCCACTGCATGTTGGATTTGTTCCCCTTCCGTCTTCTCATGCGGCTGGCTCCGGGATTTGGACAGTTCGCCTGACTTATCCTTCTGCAGCCGCAGCCTTTGTTCTTCAACGTGCTGCTGCCGTTCCTCGGGTGATTTATGACTAATATCTTCTGTCTTCAAGACATTGCCTTCTTCGTCTTCGATGACCATCGTATGGCCTTCCAGGTACACCTCTAAGACAGGTTCCCGGCCAAACCGATCACGCTCATGGTTCGGTGGAGATCCTCCCCGTTCGATCTTCTCCCGCTCCTCGGCTTCCTCCTTTGATCTCTCAGTCTCCTCACCAGCCTTCTCACTCTCCTCACCAGCCTCGGCCGGCCTTTGAGGCATAATGGCTGACTGGCTGATCGGACCTCCAGCTCCATCATCCCGCCTACGGCGTCTTCGAGGCTTGCGACTAGAGGGTCGACCGATGGGCGTCTCGGACTCTTCCTCACGAACCCGTCGCAAAAAATTTCCGGGAACACCAATCGGCGGAAGAGTTCCAGGAGGGAATTCCGGCTCAGTGGACGAATCACCCAACTCGTCTGCGTCTGTCTTGCGGAAGGACATTGAGCCTTTGGCCAGAGACTGTACGCGAGGCAACCGGTTCATCCAAGAAGGACCCTCTTCATTGGCGGTCGTGTATGACAGCGTGATGGTCAAAGTATTGATACGCTTTCCAAGGGTAAAGACGGCGATCGACGAACCGTGGACCAAAATGGACGAGATGACCATAAAGGTGGTGATGGGCCAGATCAGCTGCACTATATAATAGTCGGGAGACCCTGGTTTGGGCAGCTCGTTCTCAGACAACGGCTGAGTGCTGTCGGTTTCGAGTTCAGCCCTGGTTAGAATTGCGGCGAAGATGGCACCAACACCGATGGGTCCGAAATGGCCTGCGAAAAGAGCCTCACGCCACGTTTTGACGTCCGGTATGACTGGTTTCAGTATCATCATGATCGGAATCCGGCGGAAGAAGATGACCAGAATCGCGATGACTACGAGTCTCCAGGGCACGAGGCCGATATCCGGGTTGTTGTAGTCCTCCCAAGGGATGATAGACCCGAAATAGACAAAGTACGCCAGATTGAGAAGCAGATCAATGACGTTGGATACGTGGGATTCCTCGGTCTTCTCAGTGAACCAGCCATCGTTGCTGAAGCCAACACCGCAAGCAAAGCCTATCAGAAGATCATCCATGCCCAGCAAACTTCCAGAGCCGGCACAGAACACGGCCAGCACGAAATAGAAGACCAGGAAGCTCTCGCGATCGATCAATTGCTTACGCTCGGCGAACTTGATGGCATGGCGAGCAATATATCCGATGGCGAAACCATAGATTGCGCCAAAGATACACTCGTAGAGAATCGTCACACAGAACCAATTGAGCGATACCTTGCCTGCATCGGGGCGATAGCGCAGAATGTAGAACGCGAGATAGATGAACGGGAAGGCCATGCCGTCGTTGCAGCCGGACTCGGCCGACAAAAGGTCTCGCAGATGTTTGGGCACTCGCTTGGCGAATTTACCCTTACCGACAACCGAAGAGGCCAAGACGGGGTCGGTAGCTGTCACACAAGCAGCGCATACGAGA